CTCACAGTGCATTACAGCCATGTATTGGGAATATCTTCTTATGAATGATACCATCAAGTATAAGAGATATTTTGAATGCATGACTGCAATACACTGTGAGGCACGCTCTATGAGGAGCAAGTCCGAATTAATTCTACATGGGGTTTTCTATATAATTTCTGAAATTCCAGTTTTTCTTTTTTCTTTTTTTTTATTAGAAAAGTTGGGATGTAGGAAGGAAAAAGAAGAAGGCTAAAAGATGTTGGAATTGGTTAGCTAGCTGCACAATTAGTTAGAGATTAACTTAGACTGCGTTTGGAAATGATGCAAATGGAGTGTAAATCCTGGTTCAGGATAAATTTGTACTCTGGTTCACTTTTGCCTGTGCTTGGCAATATTACATTTTTGCATTGACAAATGACAAATCAATGCATATTTACATTGATAATAAGATGTAAAAGTACATCAATAAAAAAGAAGTAAATTTGCATTCAAGTGGGCTTTTGATGAAAAAACATATGCTTTATTGGAATTCGTGTTTGCATCCATTACGACTAAAAGTCTGTTTGGTAAGAAGGTAAATTTGTCAATGCAAAACTATCCCAACTTTACAATTTATATGAACCGTTTTACACTCTACACATTTGCACCGTTTCCAAATGCAGCCTTAAGTGTAAGCCTTCTAGAGTTCAAGACATGTATCTATATATATTACACATTTCATGAATGAAATGCAATCCATTCTTTTCCCGGTCCACTCTGTTATGGTATCAAAGCTTGTAATATATATAAACTAGTGGAGACCCATGTGATGCACGGGATTTATTAAGCGAAAGCGAAATAATAGAAATGGTCATTTATTAAAATACCCCTTATGATTTCATGAATTTACTAAAATTTACCCTATAGTTAATATTTTATTAAAACACCACTTATAATTTATAATAAATTTAATCAATCTTCCATTATATATAGATACATGTGTTAAACTCTAAAAGATGCACATCTCTAACTACTTATGCCAGCTAACTAACTGTAACAAAAAGATGTAGTTCGATCGGGAAAAAACGGGGGAGGTGATAATAAACACACTAACTGAACCCTAGTTGAAGGAAAGGGGCAACACAAGAAAGGAGGTGACACAAGTATTAATTGATACAAGTTGGTGTGCAGCAGTTTATATCATCGCAAGAAAAAATTGCAATTAATACAAGCTTGTTGATTGACCCTCTAAGAGAATGAAAGAGACATTTACTCCGTGTTTGCCTTCTTGACTCTACGAGCTCAATTATTTGCAGAGGATTTAGATATTTGAATCCCAACTCTTTGAAATTATTGGTGGTCGGCCATGCACATACGTAGACTTGTTCATAGGCCGGGTGGCCTGATGGGCCCGGCCCCCGGACGGGCTTGAACACGTAAAAGAGCCCGTGGGCTTAACCCCGGACCAAAAAATCTGACCCACAATAAATTCGAGTCCGGCTCAGGATAGCCTGATCCGACCTGACCCAACCTATAGATTAAAGTTAAAAAACCCTAGTCGAACCCCTCTTCTCTTTCACCTCTTTCACTTCTTTCTAGCCGAACCTCTATTCTCTTCAGTCTTCACATCCTCCTCAGTCCTCAATCCTCACTCTCAGGCAGCCACACAACCGGCGAGGCGGCGAACATTCACCGTTCCTCTTCTCACTTTCTCTCTCTCTCTCTCTCTCTTTCCCAGACGTGAACTGATCACTGTTGAAATCGCAACTTGCAAATCTCAGACACCGCAAACTCAGCTTATAGTCACCAGCGAGGCGGTGAATATAGGCACCGGCGGCGGCAATGAATTCTCTCTCTTTCTCAGACGCGAACTGATCACTGTTGAAATTGCAGCTTACAGTCACCGCGAACTCGGGCTTCGAGCTCGGGCTTGGGCTTCGGGCTTTTTATCAAGATTGGGCTCGGGCCCAAGTTGTAGGCCCGTTGGTCGGGCCGGGCTTGGGCTCGGGCTTAACAAATTTCCATCATAAAGAGTAAAAGCCCGGCCTGGCCTGGTCCATGAACAGGCCTACACATACGTACTCCAAGCAACCTGTATGTAGTGTTGTTTTCATGTCAATTTCTCTTTCCATGTGTCCAAACAAAACTTAGTTAACCACCTAAACCTTTAACCTAACTACACTACGTAAAATTTGGATTAATATCTCTAGGTTTCTTTCATCCACCTCAAACTATCCCTTACCTTAGCATGCAAAATTCTTAGCTGTCAGCCTGCCTGAGTGCCATCTGGCATCAATGTGTGTCCACGAGATTTGTCCTGTCAATTGAATCCACCTATATTATGAATTTATGATTAGGTGGCGTTTCTGAAATGGGGTCGTGGTGATGAGATCAGTTTCTTACAAAATGCTTCTGACCTTAGTAAGTCATGAAAATATCTCTTTATAAATAATAAATATAAATGTGGAAGATATTCTCAATATGCAGTCAGGATATACTGTGAATTTGGTGTGTTTGAGCAGATCCGAATTCATCTAAAAGCTTGAATTGCTTTTCAAGAGGTTGGATGTATATGCATGGTTTGTGTCAATGACCTAAATCAAATCTTACTTTATTCCTCATTCTTGACATACGTTTTCTTTGAGTGGTTATCTTTGAGGTTGGAAGAGGTCACAACTCACAAGTAATTTGATATAGAAAATAATAAGCCTGAATTTTCTGTCTCTCTTCTTTTCTGTTAAATCAAACATAGGATCTGCGAATACCAACATCTTAGACCCATTCAACAAAAACAAGGTTGTTTACCATCAGAAAATTGGTTCTCCATTAAACGAACATGTAGCATTTACTGTGAGTAAACGGTACTAGTTCCATGGAAGTTGTTGTTTTATTTTTGGGAAAATTACAAATATTTTGGGGCTATTGACGAACCTTCAAAAATCAACACTGCACCATTAACCAATGTTACGGTAAAATTATCAGACTGTTCATTTTATGCAGCAACATGAGCACACATGTTTCGGATAAATTGTTCAGAGTAATTTCATGTTATAGTCACAATTCTGGTGTTTGGAATGCTCATATTGATTTTCTGGATTTTCACAAAACACAGTTTTAGAGGTTTCCGCTCGGAATGTCAGATGCCGGGTCCCAGACTCCTCCCAAACGGGCAGTTGAAATTAGACGTCCTTCTCGTGCAAAATCTGGGTAACGACGATGTGGGCCGGTTCTTTAATTTAGTATTTTATCCTATTAAAAATGGGTCAAACCTAAACCTACTGAGGCTCATCCAAGTTCACAAAAGATACGAGTTCACTACTACTAAGGGCCTAGCCCGTTTCCCCCGTCTTTCCGTTTGCTAAGTCGTTTTACCTTGTAGTGGGCCTCGACTGGGGATTGGACACTGGGCTGTTGTATAGATCATGGGCCTTAGTACACTGGGCTGTTGTGTTGAATTCTGGAGAGCAATCTGCAACGGGTTAATAATCTAGATGTGAATGCACGCCCCTTACCGCTTGGATAGGCATCAAACTTAGCTTAGCTCAAGTACCCACCTTAATTATAGCTAGATGGAGTGGTGAAAGGTCTTAGTTTCTGGGTATTTGAATCTTGTATCTGATTTGAATCAATTCCAGACACTATCAGTTGATAAGGGGAGTGGTGGTTTTTTAGCAAATTTGAGTCTGAATCATCGAGGAGAGGATCAAATTCCAGATATGTTAATGTACTTCACTCCTTAGCTCTCGTTGGTTCTCGATCCTCACAAGTTTTGACTTTGGTGAGATCTTATTTTATTTCCAAGTTGCTCCCACTCCCAGAGCACATGAACATAAAATTTCAATTTCAGCAAGCTTTACGATCATAAAATAGAGAAAATGTTTTTGTCCACGCCAATCGTAGACAGTTCAATAGTTCATTCGGCAATTAATTAATAGAGATTGAAATCTGAAAGAAATTGAAGAGAGCTCGTTCCATTCCACGAACACAGTGTCCGAGGCGTGTTTATCACTTGTTCATCTTTTACCAGTTACCATTCGCTCGCAGATGTAAAATTGAATCCAAGATCGGTGTCGTACATCTCCCACTCAGCTCAGACTCAGTGACGACGCACAATCGCACATTCCTGGAAATTGTCGCTCGCGTTTTGAGGAGCTCAGACTCAACCAAGAAAAAAGTCAAAAACAGTTAGGCATATAGAGACGATCCATGGAGAAGACTGATAGGTATTATAAAATAGTTGTGATTCCCAAAATGTCCCTAACCAAAGTGGACGGTTAAAGTACGGAAAGCATTTTATCGAGCAATTAATGTAGGGGTATCTTTGGAATGAAACAGTAAAATTAACCGTTGCTTTGGTGGTTTTGTTTTTCTCAGCATACATCCACTTCAAAACCGTTCCCATGGCTCTTCGTCGAGACGACGACAAAAAAGAAAGGCGATGACTGGTTTCACAAGGTTCGTAGTTTGTAATTCATCGAACAATTAATGCAGGCGACGACTGATATTCTTTTCTCTTCGTGAGATATCTCTGTACCCGCATCGAACTCGTTATTCCTTTCTCAGTTTCTCCTGTCCTGATAAACTTGGCTCACTGATCTCTCTCCCTTTGCAGCCATTAGAAAAGGTAGTCGATTTCTTATTCTGTCTATTTCATATTTCTTAATCGTTTAATCTTGTTGATCGGCTTATAGACTATATATATCTCGCTGATCTTGACTCAGAGTGGTTGTACTTACATTTCCTAATTTAGGCAGTTTGTAAATTCTGTTGTGATATACATGTTTAAGCCTCTCAAAGGAAACCTTAAATCAAGAATTGATCAACTTATTTGATATTTCTCTGGCATTTCTTATATTTAATTGTTGTGCTAGATTATGGTTCTGTGTCAATAACACTGAATTTTCTCTAATCTAGATTGACTTGGCCTTTTCTTTGGCTTCCTTTTGCTTTTCTTTTTTTCTGTTTTTTTTTTATATGTCGATTTTAATTATGCTGTCTCTAATGGTTGGATAAGAAGTGGAAAGTGGAAACAAATTGTCATGTTTTACCAATACAGTGGCCGGAACCAAAGACCCAGAGGGCTCAAGGTCAATCAGGCTTTTCAGGTTGCCCTGGTTTTGGCAGTTTGCATTTGGTTGTTCTATCAGATAATATACTCGCAAGACAAGAGGGAAGAGTATGATGGAAGTGTAAAAGAGAACCTCAGCAGTGATCATAAAAGGATAATTTTGGGGAGTAAAGGGAATTCTGGGCCTAGTAGTGATGGAGTTCAGATAGATTCTGGTGATGGAAATCCCACTGGAGAAGATGAAAAGAAAGATGGTGGGGGTGGAGATGATGAGTTGGATGAGAACGATGAAGAAGAGTCTCCCCACAAAAGAAATGAAGGTTCACAAGAAAGCATCACTAATCATGACAAGAAAGGCGATCAAGAGAACCCAGAAGCACAATATAAGGATCCACAGGACATTGAAGATAATGTAAGTGATACTCAAGTAAGAGATGGAGATGAAGGAGTGGGTTCAGGCAAGGAAAATGATGAAGATGGGGACTCTAAAGAGAGTGCAGAGGAAGTTGCACCACATGGGATCAATGGATTTCATGATGAAAATGGGGTTCCAGAAAATGGCCATGAGCTCCGAAATGCCAATGAAAGCCCAAGTCCAATAGCTGAGGGGTTTGGCAATGAAGAAAATAACATAGAGATGCCAACAGAAAATATGGTTGTGGAAAGAGAGGCATTTAGATCTCAAACAACCAGCAAAAATGATGAGATGGAAACTCTAAGTAATAGCACTGCAGAAGGCAGAGAAAGTCACCCCACTGCTGAAGGAGAAAATCATAATGTACTATTTGAACATGAATTTAGCACATTGGATGTGAGAGGACCTTCAAACAATACACAAGATGCTGGTGTAGTTTCAGAGGATTGATGTCACCGCTCTCTCTAAAGATACTTGAGCAACCTGAAAATAAAGTCATGCAGTTGGAAATAATGGCGCATTTTGTCTTCTATCCTTTAATCAAGTGTAAAGTATGGTATATTTGCTTTTAATATTTTCTCTACAAAGAATCCATCTAGAGATTACCATTTGCATTTGTAGCATGATCTATTTTACTTGAAACAATCTATTTTTCATGTTAATTTTGATTTTCATAGCATTGAGATGAGATTTTAGTGATGTCCAATTAGTATCGTCCCGTGCAGAAGCATTTCTTGAGTTTATCATGTAGAACTTGGAGCAAGATGGGGAGAATGATAACCCACCTCTTCTCAAGAGCGGTAGTACTCCTTCAGAAATGCTCACAAACTAAAACAGAATCCTGGGCCTTCTTCGATGGTATCCAATTCGCTTTGGAGCTCTCTGTTTACGTTCTGATTATAGAAGGTGATGCACTATTGAATATTAGCAAACTACTGTTGGCAGAATTGAAGAATCATCTCAATTCTGTTTCAGTTCATATTATATTTACTAAAACGGCTAATATGGCTGCCCATAAGGTAGCTTGTCTTGTCATACCTTATCTTTTTTGTTAGGGTGTGTACTTGGTGTGTGAAGTAGTGTTAGGATGGTCCGTACATTTTTGTGAGGACGAAATCAAATCCCGGATTCAATCTGAACACCTACACAAGCTGTTATAGCTGGTGGTAGTGATACCTTCAAACAATTCAATCGTTTGATTTACATGCGCCCCTAACTTCATGGACTAGCTTACTAGCTTATTCTAACAACCTACATTGCTAGGAGGCATAATTTTGTCTGAAGCATTTGCCATGACCCAATGGTCTTGGCAGTCACTGGGTAGCTCCAAAATCCAAATTTGTTTGAACTATCTGGTAAAGACGTACCAGAACAATCTCTCTCTCTCTCGTTAAATTAGTGGTTAGTACTCAGTGCTCAGTGGGTATGAACCTCAGATGAGCTTTGAATAACTACTACTATGGTTGATATTTGTTGGGAATGCCATGATGTCCACCACTAAATTGACAAATCCCATAAAAGTGATGGTGGGCTGAAAGCAGTGTTTTAACTTTTAACAGCAAAACAAAAAGATACAAATGCTTAGTCCAGCATATTTCCTAAGGCGGTTGTCACATGATGGCCGTGTACTAAACGGCGACATCTTTTTCAGAACAACCAGGTCTAAAAACCAAGGGAAAACCATTTTGGCCAAAGCATGTGCTTGATAGTAATTTTGCCTCACGTGATTTTCTTTTTCACCGAACAGTAATTTTTCATGCAACGAGAAGGAAGAAAAATTGTTGATCTTTTCTCATATTCTAGCTCTCTACTATAATGAGCACTTGACTAAAACTTCCTCATGGACAACAAGGAACAATAACATAATAGTTGGAAAGTCTTTAAGGGTCCATTTAATTTACAGTTCGAATCAGAATCGGAACGGTCTATTCCCCTCATCTGTTTGGTTGGAATGGATTCTCATTCTCAGGAGAAGGGGAGGGAATGACCATTCCCTCAAATAGGAGAGTGCCATTCCACCAGGAATGGTAATGGAGTTCTAATTCTGCCCAACCAAACAATTGAACCATTCTGATTCTGATTGGAAACCCCTATTCCCGCAAACCAAATGGACCCTTACTCTACTTCAATTTCTATTCCAAATATATTATTTAGTATACAAGACTCAATCCCTACATCCCCATCCAATATGTTGGCCGCTAAAGGTCAGACGAATTTGACTCGACTTTCAGTACAATGATCACCCCAAGCAATGAGAAAACAATGATGCCATCTTGTGATGCTTTCTATTCACCAGAAATTATCCTTTCTCAGATTTGGTTGTGCCTGTAACCTCTTTTCCATCCAGTTGATGATGTCTCCTGCAATCTCTTCACGCTCTGGCTCAAAGAGAAGGTCATGTAGGAAACCATCATAGAGCTTTATGTCCTTGAACTCTGATGCTGCATTGTTATACAGGTCCTGTGAGGCAAGAGGATCAGTTACCCTATCAGCAGTTCCATGGAGAACCAGGAATGGAACAGTGATGGACTTCATATTTCGCAACAGGTAAGAGGAGATGCGTAGGATTTCATGCCCTGTTCGTACTCTAATGGGTCCAGTATAGACTAGTGGATCTGTGTACTTTGCTACCATAGCAGCAGGGTCCCTTGAAACTGGAATGCCTCTCTTGTTGGCACCTTTGAATTGTAACTTGGGAGCCACAAGAGAAAGTAAAGGAGCAACGACCTACATAAGGACATAACAAATCGGTCATGAACAGAAAATAAACTTAATGCCAGCGATGTTATGGAAGATGGAAAAAAATTTGGCTCTGTTGTCAACAGCATCTGCTGTCTACAGAAGTATCCCTGCCTGACAAGTTAAACTATATGAACTTCATGTAACAATAACAATGATGAAAGCATGACTGTATAGACTAACATTTCACGTAGAGAAGGCCTTGTAGACAGCAGAGCTTGTCAAATATGGACAGCCAACAGCGAAGGTTTTCTCATGGAAGATGCCTCCAATTAATCACCATACAATTGTTTGTTCCTTCCCAGCACCCACCAAAAGAATGTTGTGTTGAAGTTGGAAAAAGCAGTCCAACTTTGAGATATATATATATATATATATATATATATATAACCTTTCAACACAACCATAACTATCATTCGTTATGTCATCAATGTGATAAAAAGAGAATTACTCCAACAATTGGATGTGCTGGCTTAACGCGTAATGCTGGTGAAGTCAGTACAATTCCCTCTAGCATGCTCTCAATGCGAGGATATGAAGCCGCCTATAACATGTGATGTGCAACAATTAGAAAGTTTATTTCCTGAATCCCACTAAAATTGGACCACTATGTCAGGCTTCTGAATTTACCTTCAAAACAACAGCTCCACCAGTTGAATGGCCAAAAAGAAAGCATGGTATTCCAGGATTGTCCAATCTAATTTTCTCCAAAAAAGCACCCTATCAAATGAGATGTACATGTTTCTTCAGAAGCGAAGAAAGAAAAGGCCATTAAGGCATTACCAAATAACAGTCCCAACCATCCAGAGTCCTGGGAAGGATAGATTGGATATGCCCCTAACCTTTGGCATTCTTTTTGGCACAAGGTGTCTGTTCTCAGACTTAAATACATTTTCTCACACTTGTTATCCTGAGATTTTACCATTGCACCAGGCAATAACACCTTCTCACCAAGAAAGAGTCTGACAAGAAAAAATCTAGCCCTTCTCAAGTAAATATCAATGTGGTTGCAAGTTGCATATAGATATGAGATTCGCCTCAACAAAACTTAGTGGTCTCTTTGACACTATTTATGCTAACACCATAAAGGAAGAAACATTTTAGCACTTACAGTATCTGCAACAACATGATCAAGTGAAGGTACATATCCATGCAACCCATCGCTTCCACCATGGCCTAAAGAAAATTACAAAAAGGAAAACAAGTGATCATTTCATAATGCAACCTTGCAAACTCAAATGGCCAGTAAGAAGTAAAGCAATGAAAAAGAATCATCAATGTCAAGCATGCATAATTATGATAATATACGAATGTGCTTTTTCCATTCTGGTTACTCATATATGAATAAGATACTATGCTATAGCATTAAATAGTATTTACAAGAGTTACAAGATGGAATAAGGCAACCAAATAAATTGGTTTTCTATCTTGTGACTCCATACAAATAATAATAGAAGTGCTGAAACAAAATTCAGCACTCACCTATCCAATCCATTGCATAGACCCCAAAGTTGCATGAAGTAAGTTGCTTTGCAAAATGAGCATATCTTCCACTGTGTATAACCACTAAAAGTAAATCAAAATGCTGTTTGCAACATGTAAAATAAAAATCTGTTGACCTATCCATCCTAGAAAAGTCAAATTTGTATGTTCAAAAGCATAGACAGTAGAAAATGAATAAGAGAAATCAACAGTGGCAATGACAATTAGAAATATAGTTATAGTACTAACCCGTGCTCATTGAGACCATGTATAATGATCATAATACCCCTGAAAATACAGAGGAACGTACTTAACAACATGCCATGGAGAATAAAAAAATGAATGCAAAAGCTCATATTCAAAGTTAACCACACTAACAAAGTATTAGATGATCATATTGTAGAACCAAGCGGTGATCGAAGCCCTTTATTCCTGATGTAAATCCTGCTCCACTACAATAGCATTTGGAAAGTAGAGGGTGTACTAAGATGGAGCACAAGTTAATGAAAAAATTATCTAGTATTTGGGGAAAAGAACTGAAATAATCAAGACAGGAACAATTTGATATATACAGAAAAAAGAGAGATTGAAGACAATGAATCACTTTGAATCCATTTACAGAAACAGCACCAAATGGTTATATAGAACTAAAAAATTACAACGAAGAGCTAGGAGAACCACCTTCCCATCTCCCACGTATTTATTGTTAGTATTTGAGATGGTTAACGCTAGATAATATCTGCAAGGAGTTCAAAGAAAATAAACTTGTATAGATGCTACTGCACTCAGATACTTTCTAGGTACTTGTATTGTGATTTGGGAAAGAAATAGATCCATCCGCATTGATATGTATGTTGTTGGAGAATCCTTGTCATGGATGGCATGGCAACGCAGGATAATTTTTCAAGGAAAATATAAACATGACAAAAACACACACACACACACACGCACAAAAGATTAGCATGAAGAAGAGATGCGAATGAGCATCTAATATTATTAGAAAATTGTAAAGCAAGGCTGGTGCAGACTAAAATATCGACTTGTCCTGAATTTTTATATCAGAACTTAATAAGCATTTCAGGTCATGACTGCCTCTTAAAGTAGCAACGTCCAAATTGCCCTAAATTTTTATCTCAAAACTTAATGAGCATTTAAGGTCATAACTGCGTCTTAAAGCAGCAAAATTGCAGGGTCTACTTTATTTATTTTTTGATAAATGGTATGAGATTTGTATTACTGAAAAGGGGCGAGGTACCCCAAAAGGCATATACAGGCTGCTAAAACAGCTGAGGAAAAAAAAAACTATTTCAGCTCTATACAAAAATCCACAACAAACTCTTAAAAATCGATACTTCTCCACTTTGAAGCAATAAAGAATTGAGAAACAATTCCATCCATAAACAAGACGAGAATGGATCAGAAGTGGTAGTGAGATACTAATTCAACAAGATAGAGAACAACAGAGCCAAAGGACGCCCATGCCATGGCGTGCCAAAAGAAGAGTAAATCAGTTCAGCAACCAGAAAATGACAAACTCGACAAATCAACCAAAACTATAACTAACATCCTCCATCCCCCTCTAAAAGAAGGCCTTAGATCGTTCTAACGATGCAAAGAAACAAGCCCAACAGAAAACAAAGTAAACGTAGAATGCTTAAAAATGCAACAGCCATCAGTCTAAATTAAAGAATTCATTCAAACCATGATCGAAATCGGAGCAAATTACTTAACAGTATTTAACAGAAAAACGCAATTAACCAACCTGTTGAATGGAAAGCAAAAAAACGGAAAATGAAGAGAAATGGAAAATCAGTTGAATGGAACTTCGAAACCTTACTTCACTTCCCCGGAGACAGGAAACCACGACCTCGAGAACAAAGCGTTCCTGCTCGCTCCAAAGAACATAGAAGTACTCCAACGGCAAACATTTTCATCTTCGGCCTCAGAAAACATTTCCAGTCCTTCAGCCAACGCTCTCCGCCTCAAAGCGTCCTCTACATCTCTCCTGAAAACCAATACCCGCCTCGACGACTTGGAGGGAGAAGAAGAAGAAGAAGGCGAGGACGACGAAGAAAAGCGATTCCGAGGCAAAAGCAAAAGAAACCAGAGAAAGAAAGACTGAATGAAGATGAAGAAACGCCTGAGGGAGCGCCACGAAAGCACAATTCTTCGAAGATCCCTGAAGACAGGTATTAAGCGCCCGCTGGCCCCAGAGGTCAGCTCCTCCATCTGAACCCCTTCCATGGCAATCGATACGAGAGAGCGAGCGAGCGAGCGAGCGAGCGAGAGAGGAAGGTCCTCACTCACTCCTCAGCCCGCTAGCTTTCGTGTGGTGTTTTGCTTATACTTTTATGCTATACATAGCAGACATATATAATAGAAAGAAGGCAAGGGACAACGGAGAAGGAAGACTGGAAGAGTGGGAAAAGTCGGAAATGATGGAATGCAGATGCGAACGTAACGTTTTAGTTAGCGACTACGAAATGGGTTAGAAATTAACCATGGTTAGTTTGGACTTCAATAGAAAGAGGGGCCCAGGCCCAGAGAGACCGAGAAGTGCAGCCATTTACTTAAACAGCTCGGCTTAGGTGGTGGACCTGGTGGTGGTCCAAGTCCATCTATACTATAATAATACTAAAATGTAAATCGTGTTTCTGATGTTTTTGATGGAAATAAAACTCTTGGATTGGAATCGTTTAAATTTAAATCGTGTGTGTACTTATTTTCTTGAAGACGTGTTTGGTTGATATCAATTGACCTGACTAAAACATCGGATTATTTATTAATTTATTTATAATCGTCACAGACAACCCAGAATCTATTCTGTTTGGTTACCAAAAGAAGAACCGACCAAAAAAAAAAACCCTAAGCTGTGTAGAGGGAATTGAAGATTTGCATAATCATTCTTATTCATAGTAAATCAATATAGTTATTGTTAATATTTATAAATTGATAAATTCTAGTAACTACAATGGAACTAAAGAGCCTTGTAATTGAAGTGTGGAGTGGTTGTGCATTGTTGTCTTTTTAACACAAATTGAAAATAGTAAAGAATAAAGAGGCTTGGGAAAATTTAATGGCCTATTTATGAGGGGAGAAAGTGAATACAAGTTAATTATAGAAATTTATTAAACATAGATATTAACTAGTTGGGACCCGTGCATCGTCAAATAATAGAAAAATTATAGGCAAAATCTCCATGTAAATTTCCCCTCTCCCCCCACCCCCACCTAATAATTAGCCCTCCAAACTCCAAAGTTCCATCCATGTTTATTTTCCCGTCCCCCTCCATTTAATTTGGTTCTAGCCCCTCTAGAAAAAAAAAATTTGCTCCTCCCCTACTAAAGATCATAAACTGGTCACATTTTTTGTTTAATTATTACTTGGTCCATTATCTTATAACATATACTTGGTTTTGATCTATGGACCTTTGATCCAAACTGTATAATCATTGAACTATTTGAAGTGGACATCCATTTACAAATTGATAACTATTTTTTATAATTTGAAATTTTTATTATAATTATGATGAATATTATGGTTTTTGAACCGTTATTAACCCAAACGGTTAGACCTTTCTGCCTAAAAATTGTCAAGGCAACCGGTTTCCCTTCACCCTTAACCCGTATCTTGGCCAAAAAACCGTTGCGATCAAATTGTCTACCCATTCGACCTGAACAATGGTTTTGGCCGTTTTTTTTTTTTAATTTATTTGTTTTTTAAATTGGAATGGGTCATCCGTTCGAATTGGATGGTTGAACTAACCATCAAGGCAACCACTTCTGTTTCACCGTTAAACCTATATCTTGGCAAAAAATTGTTGACTTGGTCAACAACCCTATTGACCTAGACGGTTGAGTCGTTGACTCGTTTGATTTGAAGAATGGTTTTGACCAATTTTATTTTAACTATCTTTTATTTTTTAAAAATTTTAAATTGGAATGGGCCATCTGTTTGAACCAGTTGATCGGACTATTTAGCCTCTAAACCATTGAGGCAACCATTTCTGTTTCACCGTTGATTTTCCAATAATTTGTTGTGTTTTAAATAAATTTTCAATAGTTTTAGTATTTTAGCAATTTTAATAATTAACCAATTTTCAATAATTAATCAATAAATTTTCCAAAATTATACTAATTTGTGTTTTATTTTCCAAAAAAAAAGTTATTCAATAATTATCTAATATTGTAATAAATAATTTTCAGGAAATGTTTGTAAATTTCAGAAATTAATGTTAATATTTTTGTAATATTCATTCAATAATTATAAACAATTGAACAATTAATCAAGAAAGTTTTCAAAAAATACAAAAAAGCATTTAAATAAAATATTAAATTCAAAATGTCATTATTAATGATCAATAATAACTAAAACGGCGGGTAAGAGAGATTTGGATAACATGAAAATAAGACCGACAAATGTTTTCTTCTTGACCCGATTAGGCACTACAATGAAAAAAACACAACAACTCAGGGTCAATAAGAGGGCCCCTCACCAGATTCCAATCTAACGGAAAAAAAAATATAAACATAGAAATATTAGTTAATCATCTTTGTTTTTGATTTTTTAATAGAATGTTTTGAACATCCTATTAGAATTATATTTTTAATAATTAATTTCAGTAATTATTTATTCGTAATTCTTCTCCGATAAATATCAATAACTAACTACCTAAGTCATTATTTTTTAGTAATTAATGAAGGTTTTCAATAAGTATCAGTAATTATCAATCTTTTCATTAATTATTGGTACACTAAGTAATTACAGATATCAATAGATTTATTGAAAAAAAATTGAAAATTAATGTTTAAGTGTTGAAATTAACTAAAAATTGATATTTATTGAAAATATTCTTCCAAAATTAATGAAATTGCATTTAATTTTCCAAAATTACAAAAAATATCAATAACTAATTATTATTGAAAACATCAAATTCTCATTGGTATTTTTGATGAAATATCAATAACAAAATTATGAAAATATCGGAATAAATTTATATTTATTGAAACAAATATCCAAACAAAATGATAAATTTCAATTTAATTTTCCAAAATTACATAAAATTACTAAAGATATCAAAATAATTTGATATTTATTGAAACTAATATTAAAATAAAATTATACTTTCTTCGATTTAGTTTTCCTAAATTAGTGAAAATGTCAAATATAAATTGATATTTATCAAAATTAATTTCCACTAAACAATTACTAAAAATTTTCATTAAATATCTGAAAATGTCAATAAATAATGTTTTAGTAAATATTGATAGTTAATTGGCTAACTAATTATTTTAAGTAATTATTGAAAAATTTCAGTAAATATTAGTAATTATTAATTTGTCATTAATTTAAAATTTTAATTAAGTATTTTGAAAATAATATCAAAATAATTTTTCAATTTAATTTTCTAAAATGATTGAAAATATCAATAACCAATTATTTTCACAAATTACTGAAATTGTTATAATTACTGAAAAATAATTGACAACAATTAATTTTCCAAATTTACTGAATTTGAACTTAATTTTTAAAAATTAGTGAAATTATTGTTTAATGAATATATCAAAGAAATCCATTATTGAGAAATTGTTGTTTAATTACTAAAAAATTAATAAAATTGATTGAGAAAATACTGGAAAATGAATTAAAAGCCGAATATTATATACAAACCCGACCCGATGGCCCAGATATGGTCACCTTCTTGACCCAAATCTCCGTAACATCGTTCTCTCCAGAGAGCATCGACAGTAGACGTCGCAAGGCCTCTAGGATGGATCAAATATGTATCTAATCCTTCCTTCCGTTTCATCCCATTGAACCCATTAAAACTTTATTTAATCATTAAAAACTGATTAAACTCTAAAATAAGGGATTGAAGGATTAAAACGAAGCGTACCTAAAGCAACGATCAAAGCTAGTGCAGACAACTGATGGATGAGCACTCAACTCTCAAGTGGTAAGCCTGTGTGCGAGTGCCAACCCTCTGTAATCTGTTATTCTCATCCAAAGCCTCTTCCCAGTTGTTAAAATGCTCCGTTCTGATCTACGCAAAGCACAAAATCATGACACATAATAGCTGCTTCATTTGAATTTGGAGTCCCGAGTCCCTTGGGGGAGCTCAAGTGGGTTACCCAGCATCTCTAGCTCATTTGATCGTTTTACCTACTTCCCTTCTCTGTTGATAGAAATAGGCTGCGGTACGTCTCGTAGGAACGAATTTTACAGGGCAACTGAACCTAGGAGCCCTGTATTTTCATGGAACCGAAACTTTTAAGTCCATCTCCATTCTTAAAAGTCAAATTTGAGGACGAAAGAGAGCATAAAGAAACAAGGACAAAAGTCAATCTTCTTTTAATTTGAAATAAAACTGTAAATTCCGGAAAGAACCTGATGCTACATTCCATGCTAAGTCCCACTACTCGTTGGTAGACGATGAACAGAACATGGAAAAGGAGAGAGATGCTCCAGTTCGGTGTCCGGGAGGAGGAAGACCATTTCACTTGCCTATTTTATTTTAACAAGGGGTAATTTTGTTAAAAACGATTTATTTTTTGTTTTCGTAATATGTTTCAAAATGTATCCGATTTTGCAAATTCAATCAACTTTATTATTTTTCTGTAAAAAGTACATTCGAATATAAAAAGTAAGGGAAAATTCCCCATTAATACTCTCTACTTTGTGCCCAGTGTCACTTTGGTCTTTAAATTTTAAAATGCAAAAATTCAGCACCTCAACTTTCAAAACATGATAATCCAGTACCTATCGATCGTTGAGTGACATTTGAAATGTACGCAAATGCCCTTCGATTGTCATTTAAGAAATTTGAAGTTACGTTTAGGTGGGCATTCTAGTGATCCCAACTTTCTTGAATGGAAGAGGCAAGGATTTGGGATTATTAATATTTTTTTGTCAATGTTTGGATAGTTGATAAAGAAATTAGATGACACTCGAAGGACATTTGTGTCTTTTTAAATTGTCACTTAACGATTGATTAGCAGCTAATTAACAGTAGGTACTAGATTATCACGTTTCGAAAATTCAGATACTAAATTAATGCATTTTAAAGTTTAAGAACCAAAATGACACTAGACTCAAAATACAGGATACTAATCTGGAATTTTCCATAAAAATAATTTTCATCTTATCAAACTTTGAATTAAGGGCAAATTTGGGAGGAAACTGGATGGATAGGAGACAAATCATACACACCCATCTAGGTAACCTATTAGAGTAAACACATAAGGCTTATGTATATGAAACACTATTGTCTTCACTCATATTAGGTTACCTGGATGGGTGTTCATGATTTTGTCCTCAACCAATTTGGACCATATATATATATATGTATGCATAGAAAAAAAAATATTTTGGACGGATGAATTGTGATCCAAATAAGCTGATTCAGCTGCTTTGAAGCTAAGCTAATCAAAGTCTCGAAAGACTAAAGTGGTAAAAGGAGATATTCTCAATTAATATATTTCTATGGGTAAGGATGTGGGAAGAATTTGTGAGAAGAGGATTCTAATCCAATTCAATGTGCGCATCTTCCAATGAGTAAGCAGATTTGAGCTCTCTAAACTTTTCAGCAAATATAACTTCACTGAGGAGCCCACTCGAAAAGCCAAAAGCTGACTCGCTGAGCTTCAGCCCTCCCGAACGGGCTGGCATGCTAAAAAGTAAAAACAATGAGAGTCTAATGTACGGTTCATTATTCCCGCCTTATCCCAATAATATGGGATAAATGAGTCCTATCTCATTACTCCATTCTATTTAAATTAAGCATCAAAATAAAAAATAAAGTATTTAGATTCAAAAAATGCCAAAAACATCTTTAGGGATTGGAAAAATCTATGATAATGAAAAGACATGGTATCATAATACCTGTTTATGGGCTGTAAGTTGTTCCGATATCCTGTCTTCTCGGTATTATAGTCAAACCGGTAGGATTAAAATGTTTTAGTTTTTATTTTTTTTATTTTTTCATCCAAACAGAAAATGTTAATAATAAGATTATTATTATTGACACCTCCAAGCAAAAATAAACAATTTTTGGTATTAAGGAAAGATACTCATAACGCGTTCTGTTTGTTGAAGTTTCAACTGCACGCGTGTGAAAATGTTAATGGGGTAGGGTATGGTTTTAAAAAATGATCCGGAAATCGAATTAATATGGCTAATTGTTTCTGGGTTGATGGTTTGATCGTTCAGTTTGAATAGATGGTTCGTTTTAATAAAAAAAAATTAAAAATAAAAATGACCAATAATCATTAACTGATTTAACGATTTTTGACCAGAGACTGATTTTGAGGTAAAACAAAATCGGTTGCCTGGATGATTCCCAGACTGAATGGTCCGACCATCCAAATCAACGGTTATTTGAAAACCATGGGCAGGGGAATTAGCTTTAGCTTTTTCTTTTTTCTTTTTTTTGGTTGAGGGGATACCCTCGCGCTCTCTCTCTCTCTCTTTCTCACAACAGCAATGCCGTAGCGTGGTCTCTAACATTGACTAATCTCTAATCGTTGTCTCTAAAATTGACTACTCTCACTCTGATGGTTGTTTCTTCTGTAAATAAATTGGCTTACTAGTAATCAATTGCCTTTGCCAAACCACAATTTTCGATAGGTGACCACCGTCTCAACTCTTAAAATCTTAATACCAACCAATCCAATAGTCGCTCTTTCTTTCACCGATCGATCACTATCGTCATCCTCGTCACCGATCGATGTTGAAAATGGACGTCCAAAAGAAATCCCCCAACTCTACAAGACTACAACCTTTCGCTCTTGGCCTTTTTCTATGGAGCATGACTTCGGGGACGCCATAACTTTCCACCTGTCAAGTATTTCAACTATTATAAACCACCATTGATTGGATCACAACTAAGCAACAGCACTACCAAAAGTCAGCCTAATCACATTGTTTTTACCATTTCTGTATTATTCAGAGAGCTCCTCCTTCCTGAGACTTTTTCTGTTCCCAATCGTGTGTAATTTAATTTTATGTATCAAAATCTAATCCAAATGGCTATGGTCTTCTATTGGAGCTTAGTTTGGTCAAATGACCTACCAGCTGGGACCTATTTAGCGAAAATTATGGGAACCCAAACCAGATCCTTTGCCCCCAAGACTATCGATCTGTTTCTATTTAAGTAATTTCCGACCCCAGCTGCACGATTGTTTGTCCCATCAATGAAGCATTCAGAAGTACTAATATAAACATCTTAATATTTAAACAATTGATCTAATGATTTCCGTACTTGAGGTGATTGGCTGAAAATTAATATTTTAAAAGATATTCTCCTCTGTTTTGTTTTGGGAGTTCTAAAAATAAATTAAAATAATCTGATTTGAATTTTTTTTTTTTCAAAATAAAAGTACAGTGAAAGAACACGTTTATGTTTTTTCACTGATGTGGCAATTTTAAAAAGCAATGAAAACAACAAACATTCATGTTGTGCAAATTAATCTTCTATTTAATTAGGATACAATTATAATTTCTCTCTATCGTCATTCACGTTTGCTTCTTCATTTAATTAAATTCAAACTTATTCATGTATAACACTATAATTTCCACATTGCAAGTTACTGGGCTGCTACTTCCTGACTCGGGCCCTGTCCAAACACCATAATTGAAACATGTAATCCTCGTTTACTAGACCAGAGGCGACTTAAATTAGAAGTAATTGTTTCAGTTCAATATATAATATAAAAGCAGTAGTAGATTGCATGTAAGTGTGAGACCTCTTGAGCAAATTAAAATTCAATTTGATTAGATTTGTGCAACAATGAGGTCAATATTTAACTTCATTGTAAAGGGTATGTAATCCTATCTCTTCGGCGTTAAAAGCATGTCTTATCTTTACTGAATGCCCATTTGGGAGGATTTTCACGCCTTCTGGTTTGTAAGGTGGGCTCTATACAGAAAGTCTGGAAGCTATGAAATCGGAGCAGATATAGAACTGTTCTGGGGACCGGTTTACAGGTCGAATGGTCCAATTTCCCAGCTTGAATGGATGGCCCATTTTGATTTAAAAAATAAATAAAATAAAACAATAAAAACTGTTGTCCAAGTTGATGATTCAACCATTCGAACTAATGGGTCATTGACCAAATCAGCAGTTTTTGACTAAAAAGAGATTTTAGGGTGAAATGAAAATAATTACCAGATCAACTAGTCCAGTTCGATTTTCATTTTTCAAAACATTGCCCCCAATATACTTTCCAAAGAAAGTAGTTTTAATAGCTTCATCAAATTAATCAATAGCTTTTGGAGTTCATGATTGATGTCAATCAGGAGGGCTCCTACTCAGAAAAAAAAAAGGATGAATAAATTTTAACCTAGATTAAAGTATTACCTCACATTTTTTAATAGAAAACCAAAATCAACTTAGTTTACTAACTCCATATAAAACCCAACAAAATTGAAAAGCTAATTACAAATCCAACCTAATTTAATGTCTTTTTCTGGTGGGCAATTTGATTACTTGTGTTAAATAAAAAAAAATGCAAACTAAATTCATCACATGCGTAGTGGGTCCCAAAAAAAAATGATGGTTGTCCCCTGCTTGGTACACAATGGTCATTTAACCAGTTCTTCATAAAAAGAAAGCATTAATTAAAGATAAACAACTAGAACACGTAGTTTATCAGATTATCATGAAATTTCTTCTTCCTCTAATGACTTATCTCTAACGTAACCCAGATTGAAAAATGACAGAAGTGGCTTTCAAATATGGTCAAAGAGAGGATCCTTGCAATATTGGTTAAGTTGCTACAGTGAATGGATGGATAGGGGGTGTGTGATTGAGTGGTTATGGTTGTGGCTGGCATGGGATATAATGATTGATCTGCAACAATTAAAAATGCTATCAAGTTCAGTTAATGGATCATTGCAAGGGGTGAACTGATATAATGTATCATGCAAGAAGAGTGCTATTGACTGCCCAGGCTATCAAACATGAACAACTAAGGTTTTTCTTTTTCCTACCATTACAACATCATAATTCACAATCACCTTTTTTCTTGGACATTTAAGTGACGGGACGGTTACCTTAAATTTTATCAATTAACCATTATAAAGGGAGGAACAAAGCTATAGAGAGCCTCAGTCACCTACCATACATCATACATGATTTATCTTATTTTTAATAATCTATGTTTTCTAATAAATTCTTGGCTAAAAGCCTGCTTTATCGGTATTGTTTGTAATTCTATACAAGTTTTGTTTTTTGTTTTGGTGTTGTTTTATATTTCTTTCTTTTCTTCGTTTCTTCCAAAAGCTATGATTTTCAATATCTTCTGTGTTAATTCATATTTTTCTTGTTTGATGTTTTCATCATCGTCAACTATGTAAATTCTATAAAATTTATGTTCCTTGTCAGTTGTTTTTTTCGTTGTACTTGTATTTCTATATACTGAGGTTGGAAGAGAATCATAAATTGCCACCTGTTAAATGCTTAAAGGATCAGGACCCACAATTGAAGGGATCCCACCAAACAATTCTAATAGAATTTTTGTTACCGTTCAAATGTATCGAATAAAACTATAAATACTTCTGAGAAACAAAAAGGAAAAAGTATCTAATAATAATATTTATAACCCCCGTCACGAGAATTCCTTATTTAAGCTTTTTGATAAAGAAAGATGCTACCATAAAGAGGAATGGTATTCATCAAGAGTATTTGATATTTCAGAGATTGAAAATATACGAAGGCATCAACTGCCAGCATTTGACATTTGGTATCTGGTAATGTTTAATACCAAGGTTTCTGTTGTTTTTGGTTGTGCTTAGTACAACAGTACAAATGTATGTACAATTGCTGTTTCTCCCTTAAAACATTTTTGGAACAATTTAGATTTTGGGTTGAAAGAAGCATTCCTTAAAAAAGGCATGTATGGGAGGCTGAAGTGAATCTCATGTGATCGATCTGATAGCAATCTCTCACCAGTCCAGTTTTCTGAACAGCACTAACAAGATTTATTGAAATCCGATTTGGCCTTTACAAGACCGTGCTCTTGCAACCTTGCAATGGAAATATCTCCTCATGAAAAAAGCATATAAGTACCGATATATTCTCAATGCACGGCTGCAAAAGGCTGTGAGAATGATGTGAACACGGTTTTGTAAGCACTGAATCCGATCACAGATTTATTGGCAGATCACTGATACTTTTAAGGGTCTTTTGGGGTTTTGACCAGCTTCAGCTGGTAAGCAGGCCTAAGACCAACTCCCTGACCAATTTTGAAAAAAAAGAGCAAAAAAAAAAAAAATGTTAGAGAAAACAGAAATACCCGATACACCAATGGTGGCCGGAAATGATGATGTGCAAACAAGAGCACTGTAAACCCTAGGCATACACCAATGGTGGCAGGAAATATGGCACAATTCCTATAAGGTAGGTTTAAGCGAAATGTTATGCTCTACGCCACTATTTTGAAAAGCATATGTTGCGACTTTTGGAGAAATGGACCACCAAAATTGCAGTTGTTATAAAGTTCAAACCAATGATACAAGCCTGTCTGGCAACATGTCAGAAATCGTTTCTTCATACCCACCTATAAAACTGTAGGGATATTGTTACAAGATCCCCTTGCTCTGTGCACTTTTCTATAAAGTATGCTACAAGTTGTCCACCATCTCATCTGGTACATGCAACTTCTCAATTGCTAACTGTCAAAAACACAAATACTGTATGAGCTTCTATACAGAAAAAGGCACTCTGAGCTTCATGTATTTTAGCCATGCCAACAAGTTCAACAAAACCAAACTGCACATTGCTTTTTCATTTTCCACGATTCTGATGTCATATTTTTCCATATTTGAGTACCATTTTTTTTGTATTATAATTTATAGCAAACACTTGCATTGATTGTCATCAAGACTTTCAACACCCTCAATTGATGCCCAAGAATGAACTAAGTTCAGAAGTTTTGAGTCATTTGACAGTTCCAACAATCAAACAGTCTGAATGAGAGAGAAAAGGGTAAAATAAAATCCATATACAAAAATGAGGTAAGAATGAATTACACGAAAAGACAACAATATCAGTCGAAGAATTCACTCAGGCCATACTAATGATGCTACATGGTTGGATGTGCACTGCAATACTCCAGGATATACTTATTAAAGGCCATTACCCAATGTTGGTCCCAGCTATCTGGGGTCTTGAGAGAGGTTGACTGGCCAGGATATACTCTTTCCACCAGCTAAATATATTGTTTTAATCCTCCACCATAGGAAGGGGAGACATTGAAACAAGGGAAGAGAAGGCAAAAGATCATCTACCAACAAATGTAGTAACTAATAAAATGATGGAAGAAGACTGGGTACAAATGGGTACCAATTTGAAACAAGATGAACTGTGGTCAATGACATGGACAGATGAGCCATAAATACCCTTGGGCTGAATTGTTTGCACCCAAACCCCTTTTCAGTATTTAGTTGGGTAAAACTTCGTCTCCAACATACTGATCAAGAGAGGTTTTCTTTCTTCAAATCTGTGAGAAAGTGGGAAGATGAACCCTTCATTCAGAGGAAAGAAAGAGATCCATCAAGGCTGATTACTTGGAATGGATGGTGAAACATTTTCAGAATTTCAATATATAGATGTATATGTATAGAAAAAGGTTATCTACTCACATCAAGTAGGGATTTTCCCTGCAAGACCACTCCAATTTCTGCCAAACTCGAGATCCTGTGGCCAATCCAGATTGTCTATCACATAGGGGACCTACTGGATTGAACATATGTTCAATCCCACAGCCAATCAACAGTATACCTACCCCTTTATTGGAGTTTTGCCAAATTGATAGTAGCTCTCCACATTTTTAATTTTTCACTATAAATCTGGCCGTGAAAGAGGGTCTATTTTGAACATGTGCCAAAATCTTTTGAGCCAATTTTTTTCTCCATGAATAGAAAGTTGAAGGAACATTGAAATTCCTTGGAAGCTCCAAATTAGGAAGATTCCTAGGTCATTTAGGCAAGCTCACAAATTTGCACCCACATGTATGTGTATATGTACACATAAAAGGCTTCCTAATGGGTAACCCAGGTCCTTAAGGTGTAGGAGGATAGGAGGGGTATTTAAGTTAGGGATAAGGATCTGAACTCCATGCTGTGCTGACTGGAGTGCAGAAAGCAAAAGAAATAAAAGTGGACATGATAATTATTGAAGGCGACTCTTAGGTGGTGGTTAGCTGGCTAAAGAACAAGAAGAAGGTAGTTTTGGCCTATAGGGAGGTGCTTGAAAGATTAAATGATTGGCAAGGAATATGCTGATAGGAATTCAATGGCTTACCAAGAACTGCAAATGCATTGGATGGAACACTTACTAAGCAAGGTTGAGTAACATTGACTCTTCAAGGTTCTAATGTTTAAATTTGAAAAATGGCATACCAATAGCCTTGTATAGACACATGCTAGAGCTTTTGAGCTGAAGTTTATCCCATAAATTTATGAATATCATGTTGGTTCCAACTATTGTCACGTGTAAAATTTCTGGATCATTTAGAGCTCTCTAAACAACTTGACTAGTAAGCAAGCATTGTATCAGTATGTGAAATAACAGCAAAAAAGTAAATACAGAATCAAATAATGCAATTTCAATATTGACAGTGTTGTATTTATTTGAATGCCAAATCTTATCCTGCCTGTAAAGAAATGTCATAAAAGTAGAAAGTCTGTTTATTTCATGAAGCCCTTCAGAACTCCAAGAATTAATAAAGAATATTCACAAATATAATCAATGCCAATATCTCAGAAGGGGAATTATTCACTTGGCTTAAGTATTTTAATTAAAACCAAAACAAAAGGTAAAGAATTTGATATCCAGTAATTTTATTTCTACGTTTCAAGAAAACAAAGTCCTAAATCCTAAGCATATGAATGGAAAAAAAAGCTCCATAAATCTATTTTCCAATATTAATCATAGTTCTCAAGGCTTCGAAGCGACTCTATGCAACAGTGGAACACCTAGTTGCCTAGGTAATGGAATTTCACAATGAAAAAACTAAATTTCAGGTTAGATCCTTAATTTTACATACCAATCAGCATGTTTAAAAATTTAAAAAATAGTGATGCTCTTTACTAATAACATTAATTTCCTCTAAAAAATATAAGAAAATCACCCTATCTGAAAGACAATAGTAATTTAAATCAATCAACTTCCATATTTCAGACACAGTATATAATTTTGAGAACAAACAGGTGCTTCCTATAATCCTATAACTAATATCCATTGCACTAACAAAAAGGACAACCATGATTGGCATACCTTAATGGTAGCAACATCAGTTGCAGATGGTTTTAAATCCAGCGCAAGTCCAAAATGAAGCATTGCTTTCTCATAAATATTCCATTGCTTATAGATCTTACCCATCAGTGCATATACACTGCTTTCCTGAGGTGCATACTCTTTAAGCGCTTCTAGAACTTTCAGAGCTTCATCAAATTTCTCAAGACTCACTAGTATGTTAGCCTTCTGATACATGGGCAATGGATTCTTCTTATCTGCTATGATGGCCTTGTCCATCATATTCAAAGCTTCCTCACTTTTCTGCCAGATAATAGAAGCACAGAAGTTCAGTTGAACATCAGAACATAATATTTAAGTAAAAATGAATTTTTAATTAGCAAATTAGAATTTCCCTTTATGCCATCCAATTGTGCAATCAAAAGCATGCAACTTAAAAGGATTTTGTCAACCTTTAAAGCATGTAAAGCTGTTCCAAGATAACACATGATAACAGATGAGCATGGATTGATCTGGAAAGCCCTTCGAAAATGATGCTCAGCAAACTCAAACTTCTCTTGGCGAAGATATATCATACCAAGACCATACCAAGAGTTATAGTGCCTTGGATTTATTCTAAGAGCACTCTGATAGCTCTTTATTCCATTCTCAAAGTCCTCTAAAGCTACATGCCTGTTCACAAAGGAAATATTTATGGTAAGGGTACAGTTATCAATTACAAATATATAAACGAAAATAGTTTGGAAGAGAGTTAATCAGGAAAAGCAATCATGATCTATGAAATTCAAACTCTAAATTATGAGTTTGAAATAAAAAGGAGGGCCTCTTACTCATGGCCACATAGGGTGTGGGCATATGCAAATTTTGAATTCAATTGAACAGCACGCTGGAAATTTTTCAGAGCAGTTTCATGATCTTTCTGCAAGCTATAGCAGTTTCCCATGGCACACCTGTATGCCATTCCATTAAGAACAAAAAAACAACAACAAGATAAGGATAACAATCAAATAAGTAAATAAATAAAAAGATCATCATCATCATCTAAGCCTTATCCCCAATTATATGGGGTCTGATACATGAATCCTGTCTCACCATTCCACTTCTGTTTAATGCCATTTCCATTGTTAAATTATGAGCTCTTTAATCATTTCAAATAAATAAAAACATAAGGAAAACAATCTGGACATAGAAAGTGCAAACCTAAAAGCTTAAAATTCTTAAGGAAAATTTTTAGTTGCTGGAATTTTTCTATCAAAATCTTCCCATTGGAAGCTACAAGAGGCAGATGCCATAGTCATCAGATTTCTTCAGTGACTCCTTTATCACAAAGAACATCTAAAAGAGCTAGTTTTCCCCTGTTGTCGTGCAGTAGGAGACAATGTGCAACATAATACTCATTAACAATTAGCTGATTAATGTTCACAGAAAGAAACAACCAAAAATCCCAAGTACTTTATAAGAGAAATCCACCTAGACCCCTGATAGATGCAACTACATCTGACAAATGTGCTGAGAAAATATCCCTACTGTATGCCCCCAGCATCAATAGGCAGGCAGTGGTACTGTTAGTAATATAGAGAATGAGCAGTCCTCACCAGGATGGGATAAGGCAGATGAGACAAGGACAACAGAAAGAAATACAGTCCAAGAATCACATGATTCCAAGTTTCCAACAGTTCGCTCAAAGTGAATATATTTCTGGGACTACATGCATCAAAGGTCTGAATATGAGGGCCTGGGTGGAATAGTAAGGCAATGTGGGTGAAAATAACAACTGAAGATAGCAGTAGGGCTGTCATCTTGTGTGAAGGTAGATACAGTTCTGATCCAGGCCCTATAGGCTCTAACTAATAGACCCAGAACCAGCCAATTATTATCAAGCTTATTGGGTCTGAACCGATTAAGACCTGACTACAACTGACTGGACTTTAGCTGCTAATTCTCTTGCTCTCTCCTCAAAATATATCCCCTGTAAAATGACAATTTTAGACATCTTATATGAAATTATTATAGGTAAACCATGAGAGGCGTACATATATTAAACATCAAGAAGTGTGCGTACATAGGTTAACTTGGACTATTAGTAGCCCCAGATGTCTACTTCAAGAAATAAGTAAGCACAATGCCTATGGTTGGAAAAGGATACTATTAGGATTGAAAATATACATGTTGCATGTAAAATGTCTATGGGGAAAATCTGTGAATGTGAGCTCACAGCAACAGATGTTTGAAGGAGATACCAAGATTGTGGAGCTAGGCGATCAGTTGAGATCAGTTCCTGAGCAAGGTAGCTCAATTTCATCTCTTCCTTCAAATGCTGCCCAAAAAGAAAGACACCATTCAGTGAAACAAAAAGGAGTACTTAGATCAAATAAAGGTTTCCTACCATCATCACATTCCAGAAATTCATTATTAACAGTTGACAGTTTGAACCCATTTTTATCCAATTATTTGGTCAAATTATTTGCCTCTCAGCAACCACTATCACACATAAAAAGGGGAAAACTAATTATTTGGTCAAATTATTTGCCTCAGAGCAACCAGGAACTACACATCCTTGTAGAAATCTTATCTATAATAGATAACACAAGTGGCAAGAGAAGAATTAAAATGAATATCAATAAACACCATTCTCAAAGGTTGGGAGGCAAGCCACATGCCAAGAAGACAACCCATCCTGATGCAATGAAAAAGACCAGAAATTGGTAAACTGAAACTCAATTCTGAAGGTTGCTGCATAGGCAATCCAGGCTGATCTGGACTGGAGGAACTGTCAAAAATCATGTAGGGGAACTCCTACTCAGTTATTGTGGACAAGCTGGAGAAGGGAATTCTTTGAAGGCTGAAATGTGAGCACCTCACCAAAGTTTTAAACTGAGCAGTTCAATGGGCTTGACCAAATTATCAATAGAAGGTGCTGCCAGGTTGTGAATGGATAGATCGCATTAGAAGATCAAGGTTCATGGAACCCAAGACATATGATAAGAGAAGCCAAGTTACTACTTACTAGTGTTCACGATAAACCACTTGCTCAAATGGATTCCCAGATCAGTAAACAGCCATAAACTATGCTAGCCAGGGAGGAAGTAATTAAAAATTTGTTGGACTGCGTTTTGGCTGGTCCTGGGAGGGACTGGTATCAAAATCACACCTAAATGCTTATAACCTAATTTGTCAACATTGATCCTGTTGTATATGAAATTGTCCTACATTCCACCTCTGGAATGTATGGGCCCTTTGTAGTATTAATACACTTTTTGTTACTGATCAAAACAAGGAAACAAATTTGTTGAATAAATATTTATGCATTATCAAGTACCAAAATTGAGCGCAGTAGATTAACATGGGTGTTCTATGAGCATTTAGGTATAATACAAGAGCAAATGTAACTACATTGAAAAAATTACAACAGTAAAAAACTCACAAAAAGAACTGTAGAGTATATATCCATTCCTTCAAAACTATATGGTGATGCTTGGCGTGCAAGAGTGAAGGCTTGATCAGCTTCTAAATAATCTACCATCTCAAAATATGCTTTGCCAACCTGCATATAGTGCACAATTGTTGTTGTGCCAAATAGTCAGAAGTATATAGTACACTTGGCATGCTTATAAGACTGGATAAATATTCAAGAGCAAGAGTGTGACATAAGAATCCTTTTCATTGCACTATAGAGAAAGGAAACAAATCAAAAGATCCAAGAATTTATTCAACGGACTATTAATTCCAAATGTTTGGAAACACAACTTTGAACTATTAATTCTACATGAAGGAAACTATGCTGCTTTTCAAAGTAAAGAATACAATTTTTAGGCCCTATTATAGGAATATCTGATCATGTCCAGTGAACTGTTTAAGATTTGCCATATTTCCATGTAAATATTTTATTTATTTAAACAAAACAAAACCTTGACTATGCAACTTTTCATCAACTTTCTTCACTAAGAAACTCTAAACAATGTGTTTGAATTCGAAGGAAGAAATGTAACTACACTCCACCCTTCCCCAATTAGTGGGTTCAAAATGACAACCCCTCAGTCAACCCCATGAAGCTTTTAAAATCTACAAAAATGGTGGAAAATATGGTCCAAGATCTACAAATTTCTGGATATAGCAACTTTTTTGAAGCCAAAGTGCAAGATCTGCAAAGCTTCTAGAGCTGCAGAGAAAAATATATCCCCTATGCTGCTCCACCAACCCAAACACAGCCTAATGCATTACACTAGATAATATTAATGAGGAAATGAGATCATAAATCATAATCATTTCTTGTAATCTGAATCATATCAAGAATTACTCAGTCATAACTTTTTTTTTGAAAGGTAAGGTAAAAATTTATTAATAAAGGGAGAAAAAGATACAACAGTTTCCTAGCCAGAGAAGGATTAGCCAGGAATCAACTGAGATTACAGACTACATAGGGACTGGGAGCTAAACAACTGAGGCACACTCAGGTGCTTAAACTCAAAATTTACAGACACCCAAGAAACCAGCTTACTAACTGCACACTGCACTAATTCATCTCAACTTTTCATTTTGTTACAGAAAAAATCTATTGTTTCTTTTAAACCAAATTGACGATAGAACAGCTGCGGGAATTGACACAACACAGCATGAATAGGTAAAGAAATACAGATATACAATTAGTGAAGAAAAATTACCTGGGAAAGAACCCATCCTGTATTATACTGCTTGTGTGAAAGTTTCATATAAATGTCCAATGCATCCTGCTCCACATCAAAGCATTACATAATTGTTCAAATCTGTATCATCAAGAAGGGGCAGTGATTATGTACTTACGGTTTACTTAATTTCTATCAATCACCATTAATACCTGGCACCTGTACATACAGGAAAGCCTGTAGCCTTCTCCAAGAGTTCTCAAAAGATCAAGCAGCTCCAAGATACCACTTGAAACTCTTGAACCATGTGCAAGAACCCCACCCATCTGTTGACCTGTTCTCTCTCGTTCAAGAGATCCATCATCAGCGAACAAAGATGCACTAGAAGAAGTTGTTGCTGTATTATCTAATCGACTGTCATCAAAGGACTCAGATCGTCTACCTACAATAAGTTAAAGTGGAAGCTCCATAATTGTTCCACATGATCCATCAGCTGCATATAAGCAGAAAAGAGACCAAGAATATAATTTTGAGAACAGATAATACTACTACAAGTTTAAATAATCACACTACTTTGAAATATGACAAAAGAAACAATCAAAACTGTAATCTGTGTTCAAACAGGATAAAGTGTGGCAAGAACAGCCATATAGTAGTTGGAATCATCAAAAGCCCCAAAACCACATAAAGTCATACTAAGACAAATTTTGTATAAACTCAAAAGGCAAAATCTGGGGTAATTGGATTCCCAAAACGTGCCACGCATACAATACTTCAAGAATCGCGACCTTCACTTGAAAGTTTAGCTACACCCAAAATCAGCCTGCATGTGTCATTCTCATGAATTGATTTGGGCACATCTTTTTGGAAGGTAGATGCACAAGTCAGGGTAATGCATAAAGCATTGCCATTTTTTAAAATGCCCTGAAACTAAAATTTGATGACATAAATCTTGGGATTTCAGATTAAATATATGATATGGATCCTAATTGAAAGGAAAGGTCAAACATAGAACCAAGACTGACAAATGACATAAAACCTAACTGTGCTCTTCGTATATGATTTTAGACCCACTCAACAAAACTTGGATTTGTCTCTTGCAATCTCTAAGGGCCTGTTGGGTTCACAGTTGGAATTGGAACCAGAATCGAAATCGAAATCAAAATACTCCGGAATTGGAATCTCTAAGGGCCTGTTTAGTTCAGGCTGGAATTGGAATCGGAATCAGAATTGGCTAGAATGGATTCTCATTCCCAAGGAAGGGGGAGGGAATGTCCATTCCCTCAAATGGGGGAATGCCATCAGATTCCAATTCCGCCCAACCAAAAGGTTGGAATCGGAATGTCCAATTCCAGACCCTTATTCCCATGAACCAAATGGACCCTAAATTTCTTACAGAATCAACTGTTATTTTGTCCATTCAAGACTATTATTACTAATGCCAAATCCATGAGAAGAAACCCAACTTCCATGTAAATTCTTGACCAATCTTGAAACATTGAAGATTCTCCTCTTCTTCTCCTTCCATAGACCCAATAATGGCAAATTATAGTGTGGCCACGATATCAAAGATGTCACAACAATTAGGCCTCTAGGAGATCAAGAGCCTCCAAGAACTATTCTGTCTCCATCCTAATGAGGTATGAAAAGATGCAAGTAATTAGGTCATGTTACAATGATTTGGTATCTCAATTCCTATTTCTTTCTACTTATCCACTGGTAAAGTCTTCTCAAGCAAGACCAAGGCCTCCACAATGGGTAGAATGGAACTAGCTTAAATCTTACTACTTAAGATGCTGAAACCATGTTCCCTTTTCAGCATCCTATTATAAGAGGAGCTATGAGAACTGGACCTTGTCTCGAAGGAATTCAAAACTTTGAGATTTAAAGCTTGTTTATAATATACAAGCGTGTCATCCAATAATTTTACACACACACCCCCCATTATTTGGTTTAATGGTAAAATCTTGGGCTGACAAGAGTGAGAACATGGGTTTCAAGTGGCCACTTTGTGCTAAAAAAGTGCCACAAAGCCTAGATCTGTATCCAGTCTACCATGTATGTATGTATGTATGTATGTATGTATGTATGTATGTATGTATGTATGTATGTATGTGTGCACTTAGGAATACAGGTCCACAAATGCACTAAAAGAAACTAGTATATCAAAATATTATAAACCCACAAAATGAATAATTTAATGCAAGAATGACTATTATAATATTAAAAACTAACAAAGTAAAAATATAAAATATAATAAAGCACCTTCTACAAAAACAAAATGGTGCTTGGGCAAGGCAACCTCCCAAAAAAAGTGCTGTCAAAGGGTCAGGTCTAGTGTGCATCAGGGTAGATCTGGACCCAATCTGATAAGGAAATGTGCAGAACCAGTTCGGATCTGTAATCAGGACTGTTGGGTTTGACCCAACAAGATCCAATTATAATTGGAAGCTATACATTTAACCTGTAAATTGACAATAAACCTACTTATTTGTTAAATTGGCACATTTTGACATCATAATCTGATAATATTACAAGCATATCATGAGAAAAAAGGTATTAAAATGGGGGTATCTTTGTAATATGTTTATACATCAGTTCAGGTCTTTATACATCAGGACATATAATACAGACTCAGATCCAATAATTGAGTCAATTCAGTTCAGGTCTGCCTGATCCACTAACAGCCCTATCAACAGGTTCTGAGTTGCCTAGGCATCACCTTGACAACTATGGTTGACTGAGATGGTTTAGTTACATGTATAGACAACCAATGACTGCACTTGAGATGTGAATTGATGCAAGTAGAAGGCTCTAAAAGAGCCTGGGAAGACCAAAGAAAATGTGGATTAAAGTGGCAAAAAATGATTAAGGACTTACAATTTGACAGAAAACATGGTTCTTAATAGATCACAGTGGAGGGATGGGATTCATGTGGCTGACCCCAAATAGTTGGGATTATGACGGACTTGAGTTGAGTTGAATGTGTGTGTGTGTGTGCACATAATATATGCAACATGTTTGTCCATTCACACTTTCTTCTGAAGGTTGTAGAGATAGCTGATAAGCTGTTAGTGCTTGTGGGGTTCCAACCCCACATTTTATACCTGCTGTTTATTTTATTTTTTATTTAGAATAATTAGGTCGGCTGGGCCTTGTTTGTCTTTCTTTCATTTGTTTTAAGTAAGGGTATTACGGTAATTAGTCATTGTAATAGATTACAATATAAATACATCTTAGTGGGCGGCTAGAAACATAACTCAGCCAAACCCTTTCTTTCCTACTTCTTCACTTCCTCTCTCCCTTCCTCTTCTATTCGTGAGCCTTCTTTCTCTTTCTTTCCTACCTTTTTAAATCAGAAAACAACTATTTGCTGGTTTAATTTATTCAAGTTGGTATTAGAGCCAAAACTAGAGAAGTTTAGGGCTCTCATGTGAGCCTAATCCAGTCGGCAGCATGAGAAGTTATTGAATCTGAAGTATTGCATCTTCGCCTGATTCTTGGAGGATCATTGGAGATTCGAATTGTGCCCAAGGGGTTACAAGACCTTTGGAGAGTGCCCGGTGACCAGGAAGAGTCAGAGAAGTCAGGTAAGCCAAAGATTAGGGTTTAATCTGAAGGTTAAAGGTGGCGATCAAATTCTTTCTGAGAAAGAACTCATCTTTATTGAGATCAACCTTAAAGGGAACAGTTTTTAACCTTCTGGAAGCAGTGGTTAATAGAATTCTGTCTCCTTTTCCATTCTTTAGGGTTTCTTGAAAGAGATCGACCTTGAAAGGAGTTTTTTTTTGACAGTTCTGATTTAAGTCAATTATTGCTGTTAGTTTTCTGAGAGAGATCAACCTTAATTCAGCAGTTTTCTGATATATCTGCTAGTTTCTCTGAGTTTTTTTTGTGAAATCCCACGGTCAACCATTGCTCCCATTTTTCTGTGACTGACTGGTTCTTGAGTAGCTACAGTAATCTGGTTTTTTGGCTCCTGGGTGTTCTTGTTGACTGAGGAGTGTTTCTTGGGAGTTACCAATAATCTGAAATTGATTTCTGGTAGTGACTGTTAACATCCTCTTTAAAATGGAGAAAGTTGGAAGT